ATGAAGGGGCAAAAGGGCAGGGTGTATCTCAGTCTGTCGTTGGCTAGTCCTCTGTTGAGGATCTTGAAGACGCGACAGATGTCTGAGTAGCTGCGACTCTGCTTGGGCGGCGGTGTGAGACTGCGCGGCAGATCTTCCTTGAAGCCTTGAGGAACGTAGAGATAGTAGAAGTCTGCGTAGATTTCGTTGCCGTAGAAATCACGTGACAGAACTATCATAATTTCTGATGAGGAAAACACAGTGAATTCGAGAAGAACAACGATAACACTTAACTTTGTCGTGATCATCTTGGCGGACAAAATTGAACTGGCGAAGTGTGGACAATTTCACTTGAGATTTCACCAGTTTTCTATTTTACTCGTCAAATTATCGGACATCATCTGCGCGTGTAAGGACAGAAAGGAATGACATCCACGACATTTGGTATCATGGGAAGTCCTGCGGGTCCTTGAAAGATGAATACTTCGCAGATGTCTTGGAAAGTCCGCGATGGAGGCGCCGGAGGCGTGAGTCCTGATGATAAATCCTCAATCACACGGTGAGGAAAGCGAGGAATGAAGATCAGGTAGTAAAAATCCAGGTAGATTTCACCGTAGAGATCACGAGACACTTCCAAAAGAACTTCAAATCTCGCTTCTGATGAGGAAAACAGCGAAAACACCACGAATTTGAAGAAAACAATTATCACACTTGGCTTCAATGCGATCATTGCGGATGGCAAAGACACACTGATGCGCGTGGGCAATTTTTAGAGCCTCTTTTCTTCTTTGGTAGCTCATTTATTGGCAATTTGAAGCATCAGCATTGTTCATAGATTTTTCCAAGCGCTTTTAGTATCATAACCTCAAATTTAGGGACATTTGATCTAAAAAGACGCCTTTTTTTTACTTGCATTGCCCTGAAAACTTACAGAGAAACAGTTTTTAAGAAATATTTGAAGTTTCCAGTGGATATTTTGATGTGATTTAATTTTCTATCGCTCTTTTGGATACATTTTGGATCATAACCTGAAAAATATCTTGAAGGATTCTTGAAAGAAACTTGTTCGGAATCTTTTAAAGGCAAGACTATTTGAGAATGAGATGAAATTTGCTATTTCAGGAGAGAAAATCAATTGAACAGCTCTTAAAATAGGTTATTTTATATCCTGAAACAACATTTTAGAGGTTATGATTAATCTTAGCGTAATTAACACTGTTTACAATTGAAATCTTGAGATTTCTGCATCAGATTTCATTATAATTGAGCCAGTAAATGTAAATTATACCAATTCAAGCAGAAAAATGAATGATTTTCAAGGTTATTTAGTGACAAATTTGGTCCTAAATTCATAACATAACCTAGAAAAATATAAAGAATAATTCTTTCTCTCCAATTATTGCGTAAATTTCTCTTGAAAGTTATTGAAGCTATTGAAAAACTTCCAAATACTTCTACTGCGCTTTCCACCACTTCTGACCACAATATCTCCTCCTTGGAAAATGCATCAAATCTTGCTCTCAATTCTCTCTCAAATCTTTCTCTGGAGATTTCACAACAGGAACTGACGAAGAGCTTTTCAATCTCACGCTCGCCAAGGCGCGATCTTGAACGCGACAATTTCAACTGATTCGGCGGAAAAATAAAAACAAACTCTTGCTGGGGTAAAATGGGTGAAGGGCGCGGGATTTATTCATCTCTTCCTCCGTCGGTTTTTTTTTTATTGTTTACGCCATTATTTTACTGCTCATGTTGTTAATCGAGCTGAATCATATTTTGTCGCTCAGCACGTGTCATAAATCACAGCAGAAATCCCCGGTTTTTTGGTGTGATTCTTGTGTGTTTTCTGCAGAAAACGCTGTGAATTCTAATTCAAGAACGTGATTCTTTTGCCTGAAGAGCGCGGCTCTTAAAGATTTGTCTGTGCGCTGGAGAGAGAAAAGCCCGCGCTCGCGAGTGTCTGGAAAAGCGCGGCGCGCGCTTCCTATAATCGCGCAAAAGTGTGAGCAAGTTCATGATTGCGTCGCGAGACAAGGTCAGGATGTGGAGTTCGGTTAAAAGCGCACAAGCGAGCTCCACTGGCCGGCATTGCGAGCGACTCACTGAAGTGGTGCAGATGCGATCCGAGCGCAGCTGATCTCTGATTTTGCAATTTGTGTGCGTCTGTGAAGTGAAGAGAGCGAAAGTGCGGCAGAAAGATGAGGAATTCCGTGTCAATTTTCGTCTTGATCGCGATCTTCGCGGTGGTTTTGGTGGATGAAGTGGCTGAAGCCAGTCCAGCGCCAATCTTCCTCCCGAAGTTCAGCAGATTCATCTCGGATTACGCTTACGGAGGCGGTTATTATCCTCGCTCTTACGGTAAGTCAACACGATCGGCGAGTGTGTTGCAAAAGGGCTTTTTTCCCAATTCACTCTTTCCAAATCGCATTTCTTTCAAAACTGTTGCTTTGAAGAAATCCCACTGACGAAAGTTTGCATAATTGAGATGTGATTATCGTGCTGTGTCAACAGATTAAGACAGTCTTAATGAACGTAATTGTTGAATTGAAAATTAGAGGATTTTTCGGGTGTTTTAGAAACCAATTACAAAGTGTAACTGATATTTTTGCCCTCAATCAACCCAAAAAAATCATCACAAATTTGTGTTTATTATGAAAATCGTTTTTTCGTGCTAGTTTTTAACATGCAAATGAAATAATTTACTAGAAAATTGATCTTTTCCCAAACTTCCAAGTTAAATAATTTGTAAACACACAAAATTAGTCAATTTTCCGCCGAAAAAATCAACGTAAACTTGACTCAATTATTGAAAAATTATAATTTCGTGTTTATTCAAAGCTTCAAAATCATCAAAATGTACAAATTTGTATAGAAAATTAAAATCAATCCAAGATCAAACGAGAATTAATAAGAAATTTGCTCTTTTCTTTCAAGAATCTCACTTTGTGTCTCTCAATAACAACATAATTTAACATCTGGAGTTCTTAAAACACTGCAATATTCTTTCAAAAACACTCTAATTACAAATTACATTGAATATTCGGTAATATCGAGATAGGAAATGGGTTCAAAACCCATTTTTCCGCATCCATGATTGAACTTGCGCAGAAAACGTGCATTTTACGAGAATGCGCCAATGCATAACTTGGGCAATATAATTTTCAGCCATAAATCAGGTGCAAAAAATCTGAGTCATAAATCTCTAATTGCTATTACATGATCTCTCAATCCGTCCGACGCGGATCCATTTCACTTTCGGTCCATTCGGCGGCGCAAGAGAGCCGCGAAGTGTGGTGGAAAAGCAGCATTTGAGACTCTTTGTGTGATTTTTCAGGCGGATCCTATGGCAGTTCCTACGGAAATTCCTACGGATCCTACGGCCGCCCGTCGTCCGCCGACCGACAGCCGCGCGGCCGCAGCTACACGGACATCTGCAAGGTCCTGGGACGTCCTGGCATCAACACGGGCGCCGCCAGCGGCACTTTCTGTCCCTACAGCGGCTGACGATCTGCGTGCGCTTCAGTGATTCCATCGTCTCAGTCTCAAGTGAATGAGTTTAGGTGAGGAGAAGAAGAAGATGATATTCTCTTGTTGTGCCGCGACAAAGCGCCATCACTTTCACTCTCTTTGCAGCTTCGCCAATTTTGTAGAGAGTCTGAAAATCAGTCACCTGACAATGCAAGATCACGATTCTGCGGGAAATTGTGCGCTCTTTCCGCCGTTCATCTCTTCCGCGTGCTTCAGAACTCGTTGGATTCTGAAGGTGGATGAGATTCAACTACTGCAAATGTGTGATTCACCACGTCAAGAGCACAGCATTTCCTGCACTTCCGTCGTCTGATGATCTTCACCTGCCCACATTAGGCAGAGGAAATACAGTTATTATTTAAATCACAACCTGCTTAGGATTTAAGATATATATTGTGAAGAATAAAATATAGACAATTTCACTCTCAACATTGCGCTCAACTGACATCGGCAGAAATTGAGATCAAGGGCCGCGAGAGTCCATCCTTGATCAACTCTGTGGCTTTGCTGATCTGGAGAAATTGCGCGCCACGATCGCGAAATCACTCGATCAGTGTCAACCACGCGAAGATCCGTTCGGAGTTCAATGTGATCTTCTCATTCTTCGCTTGCTGGAGCTTTTCTCAGTCTGTTCAGTTCACAAATCGCAATGGTTTCAGAACCAAGGAGGAGATATAATGTTCTTAATCTGTACACAACTTTCTAACGCTTCCAAGTACTTCAAATTTCTACTGTTCCACACTTATTCGCCAATTGTAATAAATATCTTAAGGTTCCTCGCGATATTTCTGTAAGAATTTCCTTGAAATTCATTTTTTTAAATGATTTTTTCAAACATAACCTCAGAATATCACTAAGAGATCTTCTAAGACTCTGTTTGGAAGCTTTCTAGGTGATAAAATTATCTTTTATGAGTTTCCAATGAACTTTAAATTGCTGATTCAGAGTCGAAATTGGCCACAAAGTTGTGTAAATGAGCATTTTTCAAGCTCACATTATTCTTTTTGAGGTTATGATCGACTTTAACACAATTTAAAGTGTTTTATGTAGGTTTTATGCCATGAAAATGCTTAATTCTGCGATGTCTTCGACTTGAGCATAAGAATTGATGTGCTTGAATGTGAAATATTCACTAAATCTGTTCTTGTTTTGTTAACATAACCTGAAAAATTATTTCTAAGCTTGTTTCTATGTAAAAATCAAAAAGAACCAGAGAATCAGGATAATTTGGCCATTAAAGAATTACTCAGGAAAGAAAGATTGTATATTTTTTAACACTTCCACTTCCTAATAACTTCTGTTGAGCTGTAAACTGTTTCTGCCCCTAAATATCTCCCCCTTGGCATTTTCTTCAATTAATCTACAAACGGAGATTCTTTTTAGTGTAATTATAATACAGAATTCTTGTCTAATTGCAACTCTTTCCACGAAAGTAATTAACAGCAGTTGCGGAGGAAAAATGGAACAGTGAAAAATGCGTTTGTTTTTCGATTTTTCGGAATAATAATTTAAAAGTTTATTCAATTACGAAATCCTTCAGTAAAATCACAATAGAGAATGTTGGAAATCCTACTTTCAACGGACTTTTGCCATTATCTTTGCAGTGCGCGTGGACTGATTGGTGATTGCGCCAATTGCGACGGATCACCTGGTGAAGAGGGAGTAGCGGAATGCCTTTAGAAGAGGCGCTTCTGGACGATGTAGAAGACGCAGGCCAGGAAGAAGATGAAGGCGAACAGCAGCACGATTTTGTCCGTGCACTCGCGCCGGCCGTACTTGTTGAGCAGCTTCCCGGACTGCGTGATGGTGCCGCCGGTGTTGACCAGCTCATCACGCGTGCCCTCCACGGTGGACGAGGAGGCGATGAGCGTGTCCAGCGTGGCGGCGCTCTTCTGCGTGGTCTCGGACAGGTGTCTGGAGATGGAGAGCATCTTGTCCGTCACACTCTCCTGCTGTGACACGAGACTCGAGCGATTCAGGCGGGTCTGTCTCTGGCGCAGCTCATTCTCTCCGGACGGCGTGAGCAGTTCCTGCTTGTCAGCCTTCTCGATCTCCAGCATCGTGGACACATTGGCCTTCCGGAAGGCCTGCAGAGTCCTGCAAAGGAGCCAATTGGCCGTCAATTCCCCCAACAACTCCACACAAATCCAGAAATACCTCGTCAACTGCTGTCTGTGCGAATCCACATCTTTGGCCACCTCAGGATCACCCTCATCGCGCGCCCAGTCGTCCAATCGCTCTATGCACTTCCGCAGGGCGGATATCTTTGCTCTGCCCGCCTCATTGAGATTCTCCAGATCCACCAGGGAGCCCCGAAAGGCGAGAATGTCCTGCAAGAACGCCCAGACAAAACATTGTCACATAACCTCAACCCCATGTCTGATCGCTTTTCCACCACATTCGCACCTGAATTATTGCCTTCACGTGCAAATTATTATCCACAATGTCCTGCTTGAGTGACGAGAGGGTGTATTTCTGGGTATCCATTGCTATTTTCCTGCTAAAACACCAATTTTCTACCAACTAACCGACTCTCCCTCCCTCAACGTCAGCAACAACACGGGACACTTGACGAGATTCCGTCAGACTGTTGCCAGGCTTTCGCCGAAAGCTCCCTGGAAGTTTCCAACGAAGCTCTCATTGGCGGGAAGATTGCTATGTATGCACAAAGGAAGATTGTGATTATCTCGCTTTGTTTCACAAACAATAAGAAAAAATGCCAGGATTCTTTATTTTCCAATTAGATGTTTTCACACAACTTATTCCTCAAGTCGTCTTGAGGCGCCCAAGACGGTGGAATTCGTCTTTTTGCCGCGCAGCGTGAATGATTGCGCTGCCATGAAAAGCGGACAGGTGAGATATTAGCGTGAAAAAATTAAATTCGCAGGATAAATTGAGGAAAATCCATGCCACAGTTCTTATGTGTGAGGATTTGAAGACTTTTTTCCTCAAGAATCCCGCAAATTCCGGATGTATTTGCGATGTGCACGCGAAGGCGCGAGCAGAACTATATTTTCACCCCCGCCTTCATTTCGCGCCTCAGCCGCCAAATATGATTTGTGTGAAATTCAATAAACACCGATGGAAGCGGAGGGAAGCTCATGAATGATGATTGCGCGACAGGCGGCGAAGGAGCGTGAGTTGGGGTGGGACAATGACCAAATCACCCCCCATATTTGCCGAGCACTCGAGTCTGCTCGGCATTCGGAATGAGCTCAAGAGTGGCAAATGGGTCATTTTCCGCCCGACATCCCCTAATTTCATAATTCCATCGATTACTTCATTAAATGGATTGAGTCATGAGGACAAACAAGGTGAATAATGATGATCATTTTGCGATAGGATCATCCGGCCAGAAAAGCGCCCCCGCAATGCCAAATGACGCACTCTCAACTCATGAACCCCAACGGATTACCGCGCTCTTTGGGCTTCGCTGCCGAAGGGGGTGAAATCAAGGAGGAAATAATAGGTGACAAGTGGTGTACAGAAGTATTTTGACGTCTCGATTTGCGTCTTGATATGCTTTTTTGAGGTTATGTGACTTATTTGGGACTAAATGGACGAAAAATGAATTTATTTCCACTTATTAACAGAATTACGCATTTGTAATTAATGAAAATCACGATTCTAGAAGCTGAGCGGTAAAAAATAGTACTAAAATCAAACATAACCTCAAATTTCATAAGAACTCTCATTGTTAATTAAGAATTATGGTCAAAGAGGAGCTAAAAAAGGATTTTGTAGTGATTTCGATAAGTTTTCAGTACATTTTAAGAGTAATAAAACCAAAATAACCAGCATATTTGACCGAATATCGCTGATTGCGTCCTCTGTTGCCTGTTCTGAGACTCACAGCCACATTATCTCCCCCTTCGGTGCGATTAGTCCTGGGCGATGTACGATTTAGTTGGCGGTTAACTTTGTAATTGAATCCCAAACATGGGTGTACTCGCGCCGGTGGCCGCCCTTTGGCGGGCGGCGGCGTCGATTAAGGCAGAGAATGGGACTCGAAGGGGCAAAAATTGGAGTGAAACACAATTAGTGATATGGAGTTTTGTGGGGGGATTTGATTGCTTTTCGGTTAATTCCGGTGACAGTGCACACCAATTTCACTGGGTGTAATTCATCCAATATTTCACCCTAGCCCGCTCTCCCTTTCTCGCTCTGTGTGCCTAAAACCGCCGCCCCATTCAATAAACGACGGGACAATTCGCTTCCTTAATTATCACATCCCCAGTTAATCAGTTACAGGCTGTTTGTTGAGTCGTCAAACACCAACTGCCGCAGAGGAGACTGTCCGTTGTGCTGAAGCGATGAGAACGACAACTTCCGGCCACAACTCCGGACGGAGCTTCTCAGCGTTGTCCAGCTGTCGCAATGGAGAGGATGAAGTTCCGAAGATGTCCGAATTGCAATTTTATGCACTTCTTCCTAAATATTTATGTATAAAACAGGAGAAATCAGTTCATAAAGAGGTCATCAAAACTCTCTTGATTAAATCTTAGAACACCTGAAAATTCGCTCAAATTGTTCTCTATCATTTTACAACTGAAGTGACGAAATTATACAGATTTCTGTGCAAGAAAACGTACGAAAAGAATCAAGAAAAGAACCATCATGAGTATTTGGCAGTGTGCATGGCAAATCTTGCGTGAAATGATGAAAGAAGCTCTTGTTGTAATTGTCTCGGAGGTTGTGAAGACAGTAATTTCTGAGCCCATGGCTGTAATTGTATCCAGATTATCATTAATATACTAAATAAATGACGTAATAATAAAGAACAGACAATAAGAAATCGATCAAGTGGCTTCGGCAAACGAAGCACACAAAAGCATTTCTAAATCAAGTGCAATTGCACACGCTGAAGCTGAAAGTTGTGCACAGCGAAGAGAAGAGTTCGCGAAGGAGTTCATCCTTCTATCTTAGGTGGCTCGAAAGCCCATCCCTCAAGTGGGTGGTGGTCTGTGAGAGAAAGACAGCGATTGCCGCGCGTTCACTGGAAGGGAGCGGAAAGAGGAAATAATGCAAAGAAGTTTTGCCACTTATGAATGCCACATTTTCACTACATCAATTTGATTTAGAGACTCTCAGCGGAAGCTGTGAAGAGGAATGGTTGGTCGGGAAAGCGGCAAAAATGCTGCTGCACGTTTTTCCCCGGCGGTTAACCCTCAACGCGCGCTTCGGGCGCAGAGACAAATTGATTTTTTTTTCTCTCACTCTCTTGGCCAACTAAGAAAGTTTCAGTGCCGCGCGACAAAGCACAGAATGAAACAAAATTTCCAAAGTTACACACAACTCACAAAACACTCCAATTCAATGGTGGCATTAAAATTAAAATATGTTTGCTGAGGGAAAAGGAAACGCGAGTTGAAGTATTTCTATTTAGATATTCATTTGATGTGTCGCTCTATCGTGTCGAAAGTGTAGTTATACTTTTCGTCAAAATTCCCCTTTCTGTTTGGCAAACCGACTTCCAATTATAACTTTCTCTAAATTGCAATTTAATTAAGTTCTCTCACTCACGATGCAGCAAATTGGTGGCTTTTTCATACGCCAGAAATTATTTTGCAAATATGATACACACTAATTAAACTTCCATGGAAAAACTCATCACGTTCTCACCGCAAAACACACACTTCAATTCTGTGCACTTGTTGTCATGTGAACTCATATATAAAATATTCCAGTGCGATGCACGTCTGAAAGGGTTAAGAAAGTCGCTCAGGGTGGGTTTTAAGGGGAAAACCACTCACAATTTTAGATCATTATCTTTGTGATTATTTTTATTGTGATTATTACTTAAATTTTGAGGATTGTATTAAAATTACAACGATTTTTTGATTATGAGAAAAAGTCACATAATTGGCAAAAAATGTCTTACAAACTTGATCAGCTGATGATGAAATTGAGCTTTTTCTATGCGTAAAGCCTTATTTTCGCACTCAAATTTAATTTTCTTTTGCTCAGAATCACTTCAAGAAGTCCTAAAGTGCGACAATGCGTGAAAAGACAGAGAAAATTATGCAAAAAATGCTATATTATTAGCGTCCCCCACGCCAACTTTGCTGCCCTCTGGCGGTGGTATTAAATTCTTGGTTATTTTGCTATTTAAAGTGGAAAATAATCACAAAGTAAAGATTGGAATCATTAAGATTTCTCATAAATCGACTAGTGATTTTCCCCTTGGAGATTTCTGTGTGAGAAATACGAGGAAATTAATAAGGAAGAACTTTCAGAGTGAAAAGAATGGGTGTTTTATTATTAAATTATCAGCATACACAATTTGAGGATGCAGAAAAAGCGGAATTCAAAGCCCAACAATGTTGAATCTGAGATGGGAAGTTTAGGGGAATGTCACGTAATTGTCTTTTGGCTAAAGTTCGCTCAAAATGAGAAAGCTTTAATGACGCTGCTCCATTAGAGCATGTATATAAGAGACAAGTCTGTCTTAAACTGGGTAGTACTTAAGCATACCCTGCATTTCTTGCCATTTTCACGCTTCATGAGCTCCATTTAGTGAGTGCAATTGAGGAGCGAGGCGAATCTCTGTTGAGATTTGTGTATGGCAGTTAATTGAGTAACTCACTGCCTTTATAAATTGCATTAGTACCTGTGCCTTCTTGGCATACAGAATCTCCTTCTCCAGAGTAGGCACGAATTTCTGTGATTTGTGCAATTGAGTTTACATTTCTGCTCTGTCTTTTCTCCATGTGCGGGCGTCTTTTGGTTGGGGAATTTATGCTCAAGCCGAGAACGGCTTGCAAAGGGACATTATTCAAGGCGAGTGCCGAGTGTCTATTGCACTTTAGCAAGTTGATAAAGTGCTGGAAATGTGTCTCCGTGGGTGATGATGACATGCGGGAAGAAGAGAAAAATCACAGATGCAGGAAAAGAAACTCATTTCACCGTCTCTCTATCTGGCTTCCTCGGCGACGCTTCGGTTTCCCTCCAGACAGCATCACAGGCCAGAAAAAGGAGTCCAAGAATCAGCGCATGTTGTGCTGAGGAAGATTTTGGGGCCATGAGTGAGGTCGGGGTGGGTTAAAATATGGTATATAATGTGAGAATTATGAGGATGTGACAAGACATGATGGCAGTGGCAACGCTCTGCTGACGCAGATAATCATTGAGGAATTTGAATTGACGACGACGGCAAAAATACGCTCATTGTTGGGTGGGAAAGAAGAGTCCTGTGTGTGTGTGTGTCGTCAAGATGCGCCGTCAATATCGTCCCATCCACCCTCCCCTGACTCACCCCCGGCTTTTGCCGTCATGTCGACGCGATAAAGTGAAGGGTGAACGTGGTGATGCTCTTTTGACTCCTCTCCGGAGCTCAGCTGCCATCAATCCAATGCGGAAAATTCAATAAAAATTCATAGTCATTGACAAGGAAGGCAGAAGAAGAGGTACTTAATTTTCAACGAAATTTACAGCGAAACTTTTTTCCCCTTTGGCTTACTATGAAAAATGTGCAGCACATTCTTTGATGGATGAAAGCAAGGGTGAAAGGGTTTAAGAATAAATTACAAACATTTCTCAATGGAGTTTCTTCACGATCGAGTGTCTTAACAACCAAAACTCTAACTATCCAGC